AATCATGGCTTGGCAGTTTACTTACAGTGAGGAGGTAATACTTGAGTCAGGTCTGCACAGGGGCAGATGTAGCAGTGTATGGAAAGAGATAGTAGCCAAGAGAAAGCAAGGAATTTGTACTAACTGGGGCCCTGAGTATCCATGGGGGGGATGGCAGGGACTGAGGGTTGATAGGCAGACAAAACCAGAAGTAGGAAGGCCTTGAAGATCATCTTAAGGGGTTTAGATTTTAACTCTCAGAGTACAGAGAGCCAGTGACAGATTTCCAATGGAGAAATTATCAATCATAGAGAGCAATATTGAGAATGATTTCCTTGTCTCCAAAAGGCTAATGACCTGGGAATAAGAATGGAAAGAATGTAGCAGTATAGAGAAGGAGATGCTTGGGATGGTTAAGATGGAATGCTAAGAAGACAATGACAAGCAGAGGGGAGGAGAAAGAGGAGAAAGCAGAGGATTTGGAGACTGGATGTGAAGTTGACATTAATTTCTGGATTTATGGCTTGGACGACTGAATTAAATAAGACTACGAATCCAGTAGGAGAGGCAGATTCTGGGGGAAAGATGATGAGTTTTGTTTTAGATGTTGTAAGAGGTACCTACGGGGTGTCTGTGAGGGGTCGTCTAGTAGGCAGCTGAGCAGGATTTTGAGAGAGATGAGATGAAATTGGTATGAAGTTAAAACTAAGAGATTAGATAAGATCACTCAGGGAGAGTTTACCAAAGATAAGAATAAAGCCCTAAGAAATAGCAATGTAAGGATTGACTAGAAGATGAGAGACCCGCAGAGCAGTAAAGATGTTTGCTTTAAGAATGTGGGGGTAGATTCAAAAGCAACAGGTTCCATAGAAGTCATAGAGAGGAGAGAGTTTCAAGACCGATCACACACTGCAGTGAAAGGAAATAAAATAAGGAACGCATTGTGCTCAGTTTGGCAGATAAGAGGTTTTTAGCAATGAAGTTAAAGCAGCAATGAAGAAAGGTAGAAAACAAAGGAGATTGCAGCAGGTCTGCCGAGTCTGGTGGAAGAGAGAGAGTATAGATGGGGAATGTGAAATTGTCTCTCAAGTTTACCAGGGGAGGGAGGGAGGGAGGTGGTGACAGCTGGGGGCGAGGAGACACCTAGAAACGTTCTAGCAATATGATGGGAAGAAATGTAAAGTGTCACTGAAGAAAACACTTTGCAAATTTGCTAGAACAGTGAGTGATCTGTATGAGATATTGAATTTTTCTCCTTTCCCCAGATCTTAATCTAGAGTCACCCTGGGTAATGCTGGGAAGTACAGAAATGTCTCTCGGAGGCTCCCTCATCCCCTTATCTAGTCTCTCCTCCAAGCCTTTCCTAAAAACGCAGAGGTATCCCACCCAGGTTTGACCTCGTGGAAATGCTCCCAGCTCCTTCCTCAACAAAGCCTATCTGGTGTCCTGGATATGTCAGTCAATTTTTTTTCCCATATGTAAATTCTTCTCCTGACTTAAAATGTCCTGTGCAGAGAGGCAGTCATTCCACCTCTCTAGCTTCCACATCTTTTCCACTTCCTCTAGCCTCTTTTCCGCAGAGCCATGGCTATGTAAAGCAGGGACAGACACCTACCCCAAAGCAGCCAATCCAATGGCTGACCGGTGGTTTAAATGTCTTGGTCAGAATAAATAAACAGGGCTGAGTATATTTTCTCCCTGGAGAAACCGAATTCTGAGATGTAGCAATTGTGGGGAACATCCACGAGTCAGGTTATGAGGTGGTGGCCAATTTGATTTTAGATGTCTGTGAGATACTTCAGATAGTCTTAATATATGCTGTGGTCCCTGTCACTTAACTTGAGCTACTTGAGTGAAATTCTGCTCACTTTGCAACCAAAATAGCTCTGACACCTTGACCAGACCACCAGGGCTATTGTTCCATTCTCTTCAGCTATGCTAAATGAGTTGCTAGTTATGTCATTCACTACAAGCATGATGTTCCTTTTCTTTCTTCTATTTCATATTTAAACAATTGCAAATGTGTGTGTTCAATGTTTCTCTTAATATGAACTTAGCAGCTGGTTGAAGTTTAGGTCTGCTTCATGTTTCTCCACTTTTTCCTGGGACTGGCAGCTAGCTGGGACATTGGCAGAAGCAAAAAAGGGCAAAACAAACTACAGTGTATTCCAAGCTTCTGTTCACATTATGTTCAATAATATCCCATTGGCTTCAAAGTCAGTAAGTCTAAAGTCAAGTTTAGGGAAGTAAACTCCCTGCATTATAAAGGGTGGTTATCTAATACTATTAAGAGATGGAGTGAAGAGTTAAAAGTAATAATCCAACCTACCACAGACATTGTGTCTGAAATCCCAGACCAGAGAAGGGGGTCGAGAAGGACAAAGGAATGTACCTATTAACAGCATTCACATCTTGAAGAAACCCATCCGAAACTCCCACACAATTCTATTTCATCAGCCAGAAACTTTTCATTCCTGGCTGCAAGGGAGGCTAGGAAATTGATACTTTTTTCCAGGTTGCGGTGTGCTCAGCTAAACGTTGGGGTCTGTTACTATGTCAGAAAGAGGGAATATTGAGTAGGCAACTACTCAGTGTTCACCCAGATATATCATGCTCCTCCTTCACTGTTGTGACATAATCTGATAACTTGAGTTAAGGGGGTCATTGTACTTGTTTAAAGTATATAGTTAATTAACATATAAATGATTATCTAGCCAGTAATTAAACACTGCTGGACTGCTGCTTTTGCAAGAAAGATAATACAAGTAATCTGATTGCTCCTCCACGAAAGTCAAATCTTTTTCTAAAAGTCAGTTTATTTACGTTTTATTTACTCCTAAAATATAAATGATAGGGCCAAGAAGGGTGGCTGTAAAGGCTTCTGAAAAGAAAGTACCTAGGTAGCTCAGAGGCACTTACCCCCACAGAAATTTCCAGATACAGTTGTCCCCCTGATCCATGGGTTATATGTTCCAAGACTCCCAGTGGGAGCTTGAAACTGCGGATACTACCAAACTCTGTTTCTTCGATCTAATATTTTTAGACTGTGGTCGACCGCGGGTAACTGAAACCATGGAAAGCGAAACCATGGATAAGAGGGACTACTGCAGACTCTTTCTCCAGGCTTTTGCTCAATGTCACTTTGCTAGCAAGGCTCTTTCTGACCACACGGCTCAAAATAACGACATCCTTATTCCCTTTTCTTTGCTTCGTTTTCCTCCATACCATTTATCACCATACTCGATTATTTTATTTTCTGCTTCCCCCCACCAGAAGTTGAGTGACTTGGAGGCAAGTCATTTGTCATTTTGTTCACTGTCGGTATAATGGATTACTGAAAATGGTCTTCGATGATTGCTTTGGGTTGTGCAGAACCAGCTAGAAGCAGAAGCTCCTTTTTTACATAGTGGCTTCGTGAGGCTGCTGCAGCCGTTTTGTGACCCTGAGGTGACAAGTGTGTGGAGAAAAGACAATATGTTGAAAGTGGCCACGTAGAAGCCTGGGAAGGGACTGGGTTCCAAGGTCACCCCCTGGTTAGCTGAAACAGTCTTCTTTCAGACTTTCGACATGTGTGAAGAAGACCCCGACATCTGGGAGCTGACCTGGTACTATCAGCTCAGCCTTTGTGTTCCGTGGAATATGAACAATTTCAAAGAACACCAACGTTGGACAAAGCCATTCTGTGACTTGGTAAATTAAGGCAAAATCAAGACCAGTGCTATCTATAATCATGTCAGCGGCCATGTGGAGGGATGGGCGTGGTTTCTCCAATACATTCATTTTCTTTCCCAGGACGGCTCTGGGGGAGCCAGCTGAGGCTATGCCGTCATCCTCCATCCCACCCCTACCTACCCAACCTGGACTGTGACTGCAGACCTGGGGGATCTGCAAATAGGAGGATCAGGCATGTGGTGCTGGGGAAGGGTATAGGGGTATAAGGATGCAAGGGGCGTTGAGCAGCCTTTAACTGGTACCAGGAAGACACGAGGCTAGAGGGATGATTTACAGCCTGTCTTTGAGGCCACGAGTATGGACCAGAGCATGAGGAGGTCTGAATCTGGCAACAAGGATGTAGGGCGACTGCGGGACATGGAGTCCATGCGAGAGTAGCGGGAATGGGAAGTCTGCACTCTGACTGCCAGGAGGAGCGCGGAGTGCTGGCGGTGCTGGGGACGTCTTTGGTCGGCCACCTACGGAGAACGTGGGCGAGGCTCACGTTCAAAGCCCGACAGTACCTGGCTCCACTGCGCGCAGTGCTGGGAGCGCAGAAAGGCTGGACCCGGCTGGGCGGGGAGAGGCGGGGCTGCTGAGGAGTCCCCGGGGCCCCGTTTTGGCGCTCATTGGCGAAGTAGTGGGTGTGGGTGCAGGTTCAAAGCTTGGCCCCGCCGGGCCTCCGGGT